GTGACTAAGCAAAGACAACCCAAAACTTCACCAGATGTGAAGTTACAGTTTTAGCCAACATTCAAGCAATGCCCCTCCTCCAACTTCAGCTGGACCAGGGTGGCCATCCTTGCATGAGACATTGAAGGTAAAAGAGGCACATTTCAGAATAATTATGCTATGCAAATACTTTGTTTTTTCTCTCCCCTGAACTGTGTTCTTTTCCTAGGTCTTTCAAACATTGTTTACGAAGCTCTTGTTTTGGGTTTCAGTCATCTGATAAATCCCCTGGAGTTTAAATGAAATTAAACAGGGTTTATGATATCTCACAAATTTCATAGAGTCTCCTTTCTCCAATGTAATATTCATTATGAAAACCAACAATGAGGGCATGTGGCAGTTTTCAAGACACATCATGGAGTGTTTAATTTAGTACAATGTCTATTAATTTTTCATTAATTAGTCCATTGTCAAGTTAGACATAGTAGAACATGCGTATGACATTCCTGCTTTCAGGAAGCTTACTTGTTTATTATCATTTGTCTTGATCATCTAAGTTTTCAAGCACTTATTATGTCCAAGAACCGCAATACACACTAGGGATGTTACAATAAATAAAGCAGACATGACTGATGCCTCCCAGGAACTTATCCTCTAGTGAGGATGACAGAATAAGCAATTAAAATACAGCCTACAGTCTATAGTAGAGATAGTATGGGCTTTATTATGCAACTAGCCTTGCCTTGTGTCATAGGAGCACACAGAAAAGGCATCCTGGTGGACCATAGAAACATTCAGATAGTTAATCAGCAGATATTTTTTGAATACCAAAAAGGAGCCAGCCACTGACATACAGTTTAATATATAAAGGGAAGAATTATCCTGATCAAAGAGGCAGGAATAGGAGAGTAGAATGCTGTAGGCAGAAGAAACAGCTTATAAGAGTACTTGAAGGCAAAGTTTGAAGAACTAAGTGAAGACTTACGAGTGGTACAAATGAAGCTGGAAAAGGGGCAAGAGATACCTTGCAAAAAGAACTTATAAGCCATGTTACAGAGCTTGGACTCTATCCTGAAAATAATGGGAAATTTTACAATGGTTCTGTTCCAAAAGTGACCCAAAATATATTTGTGTAAAAAAATATTTTGACTATTGTGTTGTGATTGGATAGAGAGGAGCATGCCTGGAGCACAAAATTCTGTTTAGAAGTTGTTGTAATAAACCAGATCAAAGATGATGATCACAGCTAAGAAAGTGATTGTTGCTAGAACAGTAAGGATTTGAAAGAGAATCAAGGAGGAGTGCATTAGTTCATGTGCACTGCTACAAAGGAATACCTAAGACTTGGTAATTTATAAAGAAAAGAGGTTTATTTTGGCTCACAGTTCTGTGGTCTGTGTACAAGAAACATGATGCCTGCATCTGCTCAGTTTCTGGTGAGGGCCTCAGGAAACTTCCAGTCATGGTGGAAGGCAAAGAGGAAGCAGGCATGTTACATGGCAAGAGCAGGAACAAGAATGGGGGACGGAGGTGCCACACTCTTTTAAACCACCATTTCTTGCAAGAACTCATGGCATGAGAACTCATTCATTACCACAATGAGGGCACCAAGCCTTCGTGAGAGATCTGTCCCCGTGACTCCAACACCTCCCACCAGGTCCCTCTCTTAACACTGGAGATCACATTTCAACATGAGATTTGGAAGGGACAAAATATCTAAACCATAGCAAAGAGGAATCTCAGGGCTTGGTGAGAGACTCAGTAATGCCAGATTAGATGTGGCAGGAAAAGGAGAGGGATACATCATTCTTGACTAACTGGGTGGAAGATGGTACAATTTTCTAAGACAGAAAGCACAGAAGGAAGAACAGGTGAGGTGGGAAGTCAAAGAGTTTAGTTTGGGGACATATTGAGTTAGATTTGTTCTGGAGACATTTTGATGAATAAATCTGAAGCCTGGGAGAGATCTGAGATGGAGATACAGAGGCCAGACTTACCAGCATTTTGATTAGATATTCTTCACATGGTGTAACGGAGGGAGGGGGCTCTATTGATCCCTGTGGGTAACAGATAATCTCCAAATCTCCTTAAACGTTTTCACATTTTGAGCTTCCTTTAAATATGTTTATTTGGGGTCGAGGAGATGATGTGAATTTGCTTTAAAAGGTTTGTAACATAAAGGAAGTTAAGAAGTGCAGACAAAAATTGAAGGGACGACTAGATAAGAGTGCACAGAGAGAGTGTGCTGGCTGTGCTGGGCCAGAACCCAGAGAACAGCATGTGTAGCCAACAGGCTGAAGAGGTTCCTGAAAATGAGCTTGGGTATCCAGAGGGGAGAGTGTCAGGGGAAAGGGAGTGGCCCAGAGTCCCAGCCCCTGAGGAAACAAATAAGGCATGGAAAAGTATCCATTGGATTTTCAACATGGAGTTCGTGGGTGATTTGGCAAGGGAGGCTGTGATCATTTGGAAAGACTGAGTTAGTGGAAGATAAGAGAATGGAGGTGGCAAGTATAGGAAATTCAAGAAGGGAGGGGAAAGGGCTTAGGAGGTAGCTGGAGAAGATGACCAGACACACAGTAGGTATTTCCCCACCTTAAGATGGGAGAGAATTGTGCAATGAGTGAGAAAATTTATAAGTACAAAAAGCCTTTAGTAACAACCAATCCGAGCACACGGACACATTTAAGGAAATCAGAAGAGTAGAGCTCAGGGTATGTACAGTGGTCAGGATGGATTTCAGATAAGGGTTATGAATTGAGTTGAGCCTTGAATGACAAATAAGCTTTTCGACAGTTGAGAATGAGCCATTAATTGGAAGAAATCTGAGAAAAAATAAGACTAAACATTCACCTATTCTCTTTTTACCTCCTTTTATTATTCAAAGAATATCTTCTCAGCTAATATAATGTCCTGAGAATGGAAATTGCCTGTAACTCAGAGTGACTACAAGTATGAAAGTATTAACAGTTACAAGATATATAATCCAATTTACAAGCATTCCTTGCGTTCTTGGTCTTCACGCATGAAACCAGCATATTCTTTGGAATCACATTGTTCAATTTCCTCATTTGGAATTTTTAACACCAGATATGGTGCTAAATCAGTATAAGCCGGTGCTTCTATCACTCAGGTTTTAAACATCCTCCGTATATATAAACACACCCATAAATAAAGGTGTTAATGTTGGAAGGAGAAAGATTCTTTAATAAGCAACCTAGCACAAGTGATTCCCTGCATATAGGAGATTGTTATAGAACCTAGCTCATAATTAAACATTGCCTATTTAACTGAATTATTTTTTATCTTACCTTTTTAAAGAATATACAAATGTTCATTTTCAAAGGTGACATTTATGTGTCTAAGTGGAACAAGCTTATTATAATTCGTAAGTACTCAGAGAACAGATTGTAGCAAGAAGTATTAAACATTGTAATAGACCCCGGAGGAAGCTGTAGCTCGGTCTTCCCAGACAGGTTTGCGTAGATGGTGGTTGCTTTAGGACTACACCTTTTTGTTAAAAGAGAGCCCAACAGCTTTCAGTAACAGTCTTAACCATTCCTTTTTTTCCTTGTCATAAGTATGGGTCAGTGTTCCAAACAGATTATGAATGCACTAAAGAAAAACTTGGCCATTGCTATACAGACATTAGAGAAGCCAACATGGTTGTTAAGGAGTCTCATTTTCCTACCTAAGAAAGAGAATTCTGTTCTTTTTCCCAGTTCATGGCATTTGGCCCAAGAGAAAAAAAAAATGCCATAATATTTTTTGGTGTTTATGAAACTTGATTTTCTATATTTTTGTCCTAGTTCCTGGAAGAGGCCAGATTTCTCTCTCTCTCTCTCTCTCTCTCTCTCTCACACACACACACACACACACACACACACACACACACACACAGTCTCTCTTTCTCTCTGGTTCTGATTCTGACCTATCTTGGTTCTCTACCCACCCCAGCCTGGGTGCCCAGGTTCTCTCCTATGTGTGGACCATCTCTTCTCACATACATTATTCTGACCTCTGGTTGTGGCCATTCTGTCAATGTAGGTTTTACCTTTCCAGAGGATATGGTTCGTGCTCAGTGTGATACAGTTTATATTCTGCTGCCTCAACAAATACCAGGTTAGCCATTGCAATTTTATAGTCAGATACCTCGAGCACTGGGATGTATTTTTGTGGAAATTGCATATTCCATTATTGCCTCTCATATATCATGGCTTTATTCATAGGCAGCAAAGGCCAGGCCTTGGCTAATGACTTCAAAACCCTGCCACATGAAGGTTTTTTTTTTTTTTTCTCCTTTAGGATTCTAGGCATCTTTTATTAGAGTCAATTGGCCTGTTTCTGAGAGGCCTTTGTGATTCCCCGATTTGCTGTGAGTGGGATGTCTGAGGATTACTGCCTCACCTCCCTTCGGGTCTGTTAGCAGCCTTGGTGGAAAATCTCTTCTGATCTGAGGAAATGTCATTTTAGAGTGCAAAATGAGAACACTTGATTATAATTTCTTGGGTTTCTAAGAATAAATCTGAATAGCAAATTATTTTAATGGTTATCTTCCTTTTTAAACAAATAAGAATTGTCTTAACGATTTAAAGAAAAAAGATAACATTGTTTTTTAAACTCAAACGAAGCCCAGATGAAATTGTCATCGATCTGTTAATATCACAAAAAGACCTTTTCCTAAATGACAGTATTTTGGAACCTGTTGGGAACCCCCTTGATTTTGGAGCACAGTTACCTTGCAGGAGCTTAGGCCCCCACTGACCTGACTGCTACTCGGCTTTCTCAACGTGCAGTATTAAGGACAGACTGTACTGTAACAACCCTGCCCCGTGCAAACGGCTCTTTTTGGGAAGATTCTGAGGGCTGGGCCTGCAAATCTATTTCTTACCAAATGCCTCTGTGTATCACTCAAGCACTGCATGGTTTGAGAGGCACAACCCTTGGAGACAGATCAGGAAAGCCTCGGTGGTCACCGAGACCAACTTATCTGACAATGAACTCTTTGTCTCTCCTCTGCCCAGGTGCAAGTGTAATCTCCATGCCACTGTGTGTGTGTATGACAACAGCAAACTGACATGTGAATGTGAGCACAACACTACAGGTCCAGACTGTGGGAAATGCAAGAAGAATTATCAGGGCCGACCTTGGAGTCCAGGCTCCTATCTCCCCATCCCCAAAGGCACTGCAAATACCTGTGAGTAACTTTGCTTGATAACAGCATATTCTGTGCACAATGAGGTGATAGTTCCTCTCAATTTTGCTTACAATTGTGATTTTATTCCTCTTACCAGTTGTCTCATTCTTCTTTAAAGTGCAGTGAAAGTTTCCGTCCCTATCTTACCCCATGTAGACATCTTTTAGCACTCTGATCATCTGTAAAATTCAGTCATCTAACATTCACATCAAATGTATTGGGAAATGATACTTGACATCATAGAAGGAATTTTTTTCTAAGTGGATGAGACAGGGGTGATTTTTTCCTCCCCCAAATTAATTTCCTATTAAAATATCAAAGGCCTTGAAAAGTCAACTCTAACTTAATCTTAGCCATAAACAATTTACAGAAGTTATTTGAATGTCTATAGCCCCATTTCCCCTACTCAGTATCCTGAGAGATGCTTTGTCCAGAAGATTTTTTTCCCGCTACAGTTTTAGCGAGGCCCTAACTTCGTCTTGTGAAAAGCTTGGCTGTTTCCAAACTCCAGCAATTGAAACATACCTGCTTTGGATCCTGTGGATAGAGGCCCCCTTTGGATAAAGAGCATGACTGTAGGCCTGTGGGGACCATATTAAGAAAAAAATATTTCTGTACACATGTGAAAGAGTGCAAGCATTATCTGTGTTTATAGAAACCATGTGTGTGCCCCCACTGAAATCCCTGATTCCCCATAGGACAACAGGATCTGACATGCTTACAGAGAAATATGATTATTTGCTGAATAATTTGCCCAGTTCCATGGATGGACCAATTAACTACCTGCAACATCCCAAGGTTTGCCCTCTTTAAAAAGTAGAGAAAGGGGGAGATTAGAATATCCCCATTCAGTGCGAACTAACAGAAGCAGCAGGACAGTGAGCACAGGAGAATCAGAACTTGAGAATCCACTGGTTCCACAGAAGGGTAAGAATGTTATCAGGCACTTCAAAGCAGCAGCTGTGAGAAACCAGACCTAAGAACTCATATCACAGGAACTAGGACCTTATCAAGTTAAACGTAAGAGTAATGGACCAAGTAACAAGCCGTGAAGTATGGGGGCATGAAATTATGATAAAATGTCTATGAAACAGAAAGAAATCCTTCAAAAGGTTTTTAAAAAATCCTTCTTTGTAAGGGTATTCAGTTGCTTTCAGTGTTAAAGAAAAAAACTGACTTTTTGCTCCTAAAATTAATACATTAATGCTCTGTTGAGCAGAAATGTTGATGTTTAAAGGTGATTTTATTAATGGAAACTCTGTGGCCTTTCCTCAATTGTTGAGGGCCATAGACCCATGAATTTGGAAGGGATATTGCAAAGTTATTTGTTGCAGTACCCTGTGGTTGGCTACCTAAGAACTCCTATGACCACAGTTGTCAAATTTAGTTTAAGGCTTTCCTAAAGTGAAAATGACTCAGATTTCCTTTTTAATGTCTGCTCCTTCTTTAGTGGAAAAGGCTGGAAGAGAGTGAAGTTCACAAACACTTCCTGGCATTCTGGCTCGTCCTCAGGGCAGGTCAACTTGCCAAGGCCCCTGGAGAGGCAGCAGGGGAAGGGTGCTGCTGAAGGCATCAGCTTCTATTCTAACATGATCTTGTTCTTCTACCCATAAGTGTACTTCCAAGTTTTTATTTCAAGACATTTTCACTGGAAAGGCTTTCTTGTTTCATCCAAGCTTTCTCATTGAAACTGATTTCCTGTTGTAATCATCATGGAAATGACTTATATACCCCAAATCCTTTGCATATTGAAGATCACCAAGTCACTTTCTGACCACAGGAATGAAACTTGTTTCAGTTTTCGTTGTACATCCAATTGTCCAACTATCCCTTAGTTTTACTGGTTTTCTCTAGACTTTTTGGATGTTTTCCTCATTGATGTTAAAATAGACAGGTGATGGATGGACCCAGTGTCCAAAGAGGTTAAATTCAATATTCCAATCATCAGTATGGCAGAAATTAGATGAAGGATTTTAGAAACTATCTGCAGATCTGCAGTGGTCCAGTCTTGCAATGGGAATAACCCCTTTGACTAAATCTCTGACACATCAGACTGTGCTTTAAAGCATCTGAGGATGGAAGTAAGCAATTTAGTAGTTTAGTGCACAGACTCCAGGGTGGAATCCAGTTTCTCCATTTACTAGCTTTGTGACCTTGAAAAAGTAAGCTAACCTCTCCAACACTGTTTCCCATCTCTAATGTGAGGATAATAACAGTTATTACCTCATGTGGATTTTTAGATGGTTGACTAAGCTAACACATGTAATGTGTTTAGCCTAACACCTGTCACAAAATAAGCATTCAAAAAATAATTTATTTTTAGTTTTTTTTTCGTAAGACAGTCTTGTCCATTGTTGGACAGTTTTAACTGGTATAAGAGTTACTTCTTATCGAATCTTTTCTTTTTTTACTTTTTAAGGAGTAAAAGAAGTATATTGACCCTGGCTTTATTTCTTACCCAGGTTAAACATTATCAACTCCAATTCTTATGTGCTAATGTTTTCATGTCCTTTACCTGGTTGCCTGCTCTGGAAGTCCTCTAAATCATTAGTGTGGTAATCCCAGTCAAGCACAGGACCTTCAGCAGTTTTATGATTCTCACTTCATATTGGCTTTTTCTTACACATATGCATACAGGTACACACACACACACACACACACACACTCTCACATGACTCTAGTGGGTACATTACAAGTCAGTTATCTATGAGGGATACTTAGGATATATCCCTGCCTAACATAAGAACACAAAAGTTACAACTTCTGGTCCCTCAAAATCAACTCTTCAGGGACCTAGAAATGCCACTCATCCTGGATAATCTCTAGATTTAGCAGAATCTAAAGCAACCAGGATACTTTTCAAATAGGATGATCAGTTTCTGCTCACCTTCATAAGTTTTAACAAAACAACTGGGAGGTCTTCATTAAATCAGGGAATGACAAGATTCTCCCCCAAGACACTCAGCCCACCACTCAGGGATACACTAGATGGGACCTTGCTGAGAGTCATTTGGCTTTGGAAGTCCTATATTCTAGAGCAGTTCAAGACCACTGTTGTATGAAACGTGCAGAGCTAAGCAGAAGTGTGCAGAAGGCCAACACTCTAAAATATAGCCACCCCAGTCTGTAAGACACACCACATTTCCCTATGCTTTTCATGACAATACACTTGACAGAGGCAGAATAACTTTTGTGATATTTTTATTCATCATGCTTTTATTCAAGACCAGCGTGTTTTCTTGGACTTTTAATGCCATGCACATGTATATCAAAATCTTTTCTTTCTTTTTCTACAAAGCTTATGTTTTATAGAAAAGACATTTTTCTTCTCCTTATTGATCTTCATTCCTTTTTGATAGAATTCTATTTTGGATGTCCTTTGAATTTTATTTCTGTCTTCCAAGTAATAGCAGTTCTGTCCAACTTCGTGCTTAATTATGATTCTCTTGATTCCCCATTGTCCAGCTCATGAATAAAAGTATTAAATAACTCTTTAAACTCTGATCCCTATGGAATAACACATGTTTTTCTATATATAGATGCTAAAAACTTAATAATCACTATGTAGGAATCATAACTTCAGCAAAGATAATATCATACCTATACCTCTCCTTCTCTGGCTATATTCTATGACCCATAAAAGCACTCCATGGCCAGATAAGTCTGAAAAATGCTGTACACTATACTGACTATTCATATTACATTACTACAATAGAAACAATTGAAAAGTTCTACAATAAAGCAACCTGTTTTACCCAATGTTTCCCAAACTTACTTGCTTCATGGACCATTCAATAACTTTCCATAAAACACTCTTATGGGGACATGCTGAGCTAAACAGTTCCTTGCAGCCTAGCCATAGAAATGTCATGGAGATAGACAGAAAACTGAGCTAGTTCAGCTGTATTCAATCTTTTATTTTTCTCTTACCCACATGGTCTAATATTCTTCAAAGAATGAAAATCAAATTGGTCTGACTTTGACATTATTTGTTCATAAATCTAACTTGAGTTGTTACACAATATCTAGGAGTCCTCTGAGTGATGAAAAGTAATTTGATGATTGTTCTATTATTTTCTCCGGTATCAAGTTTGCATTGACCAATTTATATCTTCCCAGGTACACACATGTATGTGTCTTTATCCAGACAATTTCCTAAGTGCTTTATATACATTAGTCCATTCTAAACTCAAAATAGTCTTACAAGACAAATACTACTATTTTAATTTTAAACACATGGAATATTGTGATTTCAGAGGAAAAATATCTTGCTTAAGGTTTACACAGCTAGAAAGGGTTAAAGGGAAGATTTGAATCCAGGTGGATCTTGACCCTGAGGACTGCACATTGCACTGTACTGCTGACCAAGTTAAATTTGAGTGACTTTCTCTGTTCTCCAGTGGGATTTAGGCTCCATTTTAATGCCTGTTTGAACAAATCAGTTTTCTCTAAACCTGCCCTCTTCCTTCATCTCTGCTTATTTTTCTGCCTTCAAAGACTCCCCTTCTATTAGTCTTTTAAATCTCCATACTCCCTATCCCTGCCTGTTCTCAGTCTACAATTTTTTCTTGACATTCTAGCCTATTATTGTGATTTTAGATCTTAGTATTATTGATTTAGTAGTAATCAACCAATTCTAACTTCAATCTTTCTAATAATTTCAGAAAAAAATTTCAGCTGTCAGTAAAGATCTCAAAGTCAATATGCTAGATACTAAATTCATTTCTTTCCCCTAAAGCATTTTTCTCTTCACTTTATATTGAAGTTTTGCTCATTTTTCAAGACTGCTCCTTGATGCCTCATTGAAGCCTACCTAGACTCTCCTATGCAAAATCAATTATTTCTATCTCTCTCTCAAATATTGATAATGTGTTTAGATTTACAACTGATCAACTATCTTTAACCAAAATTATTATAATAATGATAGCTACCATTTATTAAGTTTACTACAGGCTTTTACACTTCATAAAGTACTTTATGTTTTTTATTGGTTTAAATCC